TTATTTAACAATATTTAGTAATATTTAGTATTATTTAGCATTATTTAGTAATATTTAGTAATATTTACTATTATTTAGCATTATTTCGTAATATTTAGTATTATTTAGTATTATTTGGTAATATTTAGTAATATTTAGTATTATTTGGTAATATTTAGTAATATTTAGTAATATTTATCATTATTTAGTAATATTTAGTATTATTTAGTAATATACCATATGAATTTCAGTTCATAGTATTTCTTCATATTAAAGTAAGCCAACTAAGTACAACATAAATTTTCATTTGTTCAAAATCATTTTTAATCCAAAGCAAAGATTGTGACAAAGTTCTTGGGAGAAGAGGAACCACAAAGGAATGGTTCATAACAATCAGAAACAAAAGGTGAATTTAATTCTCCGGATAGTTTAGTAATATACACTGGAAAATGTGACAAAAATTTCTAAAGGTGCACAAAAACAGCAAAAGATGCCATTCCGAAACTGAGTAAAGCATTAAGAGATTGGAAAATGTCTTTAGAAACAAAAAGAATGCTGGACTGCTGTGTAATGTCTAATCTTCTATACGATGGGAAATGCTGAACTACAGCAGCACAAATGAAGAAAAGATCTAAATGAACAAAAATATGGTTTTAGTGTTTGTTATACCGTACCTGTGTATGATAATGGGTATGTCCCAATTCCTATAAATACATTGGTATATACTGTATGTTGTCTTCCACTTGGGATTCACTGTGGGATTTTACTTGCAATTCACCTTGATTCACTTCTAGCTCACCACTAGCAGTTGATTACTTACTACATGCTGCTGACGAATCTATGTTGTTTCTGTTATAAATATTACCGTTCCATTTCCAACCTTAGTTTTGGTTATTCTTATTCAGTAACCTTTTCCTAGGTTACAACAGTGATGAATGCTGGGAATACTATGGAGAGAGTATGTGAGTAATAAGGAAGTTTTAAGGAGAATAGGAAATACAAGGATCTGCTGCTAATAATCAGAAATGACTACTGAAATCTTTGGGACACATAATGAGGAAAGAAGGCTTTGAGAATTCAACACACTAAAGGCAAATTGAGAAAAGCAGTGAATAAGCTATTTAAAAGTCTGAGTAAATAGATGGAAGAATAAATGCCATAAAGACAATGAGGCATTGTAAAGGAGCAACAAAACCCAGAAGTTGTGGAGATCCGTAAACATACACATCTCGAAAGGACAAGGCACATAGAAAAAATGTTCAATAACATTTTTCTGTAAAGGAAGCGTTATTATCAATGGATTTGATAGTGTGATCAGCCATTCTTGAAAGTAATGTTTACCTTAAAATTGATTTTAGTTTAATTAAAGTAATTAATATAATTGACACAAATAAAAAGAAAGGAAAGTGCCTCAGGGCTTATTATAGATAACTTAATAAACAGAGATGAATGCAGCAGAATGAAAAAGAAACATAGGTATATGTACTAGTTGATTATAGACACACAGCTGCCTGCTATAGAACAATAATTAGCACAGCCTCTTTGTTGTAACTTGCTTCTACTCAGGTAACCTTGTGTAAGGCCAATTTGAGTAAATATATACACACATATTTATATATATATATATGCATGAAAGTGCACATATACACACAAATGTGGAGCTATGACGTTTTGGGGCATTGTCACAGTGAGGAATTGTCCAAAAAGCATATTGTGTCAAATCTAGTCCTTATAGAGGCATAACATGTGTGATTGATCACTCGACCTCGTTTAAAAGACTTATAAGGAAAATCTTTCAGGTGCATGGCCAAATGGTTACAACATTCACTTTCCAACCATGAAACCCTGGTTCAAATTTCAGCATGGTCAATTTGTTAGGAAGGTGACCTTGATGTTATTGGCCTAGGGAGGTAATCCAAGCATGTGGCACATTGGAAATCCCACCACAGGTTGATTCAAGCCATGTGAGTAAAATTGGATGACAGAACTGTTAAAAGGCCATTGAAGGCTGTTCTAGCATAAAGTCACTGTGACTGAAGATATGAGTGTACTAGCCTTGTTCAAAATGGTGATTATGTATTCTTTCCTAGAAACTGTAACTAAGGTCTGCTCAGCTTAGTAATGGTATAAACCCCAGGTAGGTTCTGTTGTGGAGAAATATAAATGTTCCTGAGCAGGTGTCTGCAACAGGGATTGGTTAGCCGCTTGGCAGATAGATGTACTTGGATATAAATAGCCTGCTATTAAAGAAAATAAAATAAAATGGACAGCAGAATCCATGAAGACTGATTTTTCAACTGTTCTTTTCATCAATTAATGTCATTTTACCTTAATAGACCAGGTGGACAGATCAAAGTCTACATAGCTTCTGGTAGAAATTACTTTCACTGATCAAAATGTCAACAAGACAGAGTATGTTTGACATTTTGGATGGGATTAAACCTATTTTCCTGGAAAACTGTTTTAAGAGAGAAGTTTTATAAATTACAACCAACAGTAACACTGTTTGGTCAATGAATGCTAAATGCTTCCTTATAAGAAAACATCTAATGTCACCATTACTATTATCATTATGGTGTATTATACAAGTTTATTATGTTCATTATATTATATAGAGTAATATTACGCAGTCATTATATTTCCAGGATCATTCTTGAGCAACAGGTGTTGGCTAGCCAGTCTATTAAATAGACATACTCAGATATGAGTAGCCAGCTATCACCATTACTCATTTTATAGAAACATCAATGGGAAAGCATGGAAATTAAAATGTAGCAATGTAATGGTAACTTTGGCTGTTTCCTTATATGGAAACATTCAGCATCCCTTGATCAAACAGTCAATATTGCTGTTGGTTGAAACTTATCAAATCTAGAGATGTTGGTTAGTTTTTGATCATACTGTTTTTCTCTATGGAGAAGCTTATAATGCTGGTATATCTTCCAGTCTTTCGTAAAAAAGAAAAGAGTACTGAGCTGCTATGTGACAGCTGTACTCCTTTACAGCACTGAATGTTGGACAGTCTCCTCAAAGATGAAAAAGAGACTTGAAGCAACAGAGGTATGGTTTTACAGAAGGATGCTAATGAAATGGACTGAGAATGTGAGCAACGATGAGGTTCTGGAGAGGATGCAAACAAGGAGGAAACTTATACTTAACATCAGGAAGAGGCAGCTGAAATTTCTAGGACATGTAATGAGAAAGGAGGGCTTGGAAAATCTGATACTCAAAGGTTGAATAGAGGGAAAGAGAGACAAGAGAAAGGTACACATGGTATACCTAGCAGGCTTAAGCAAGTGGATGACAGAACATGGCCTGGGGGAAGTAGCAAAAGGACAAAACTTATTGAAAGCTACAAGGGATAGGGAGAAGTGGAGAGCCATGCATGATTGCCTACATCCTGAAGGGACACAGCATATAAAAAGAAAATGGTAATATAAGCTTAATAAGGAAACATTCAGTGACCAAACAATCTTTCTATTGAAACAGTTTTTTGGAAAATAGGTTTCTCGTTCTCTGTTATCACTCTTTCCAGTACTGATGGAGGTTTCCTTCCTAACCTTTTGTTTAAAGTAGTTTGGAATGTTGTCATTTTTTTTCTAGTTACATGTGCTGCTACTGTTGAAAGTCTTCAAGTGTTGTAAGTTTGTTATTTGATAAAGTTCTTTGTCATTCTGCAGTGCCAGTCTGCTAGATCTGATGAAGAACTATCCTCTTCAAGGATAGCTTGTTAATTTTAATGCCTCCAAAACGAAATTTTTCTCTATCAATCACCTGAGACACACCTTTCTGCTTCTCATAAGCATGGCTGATGCTAACCACCAGAAGAATGACTCATTGTGCCTTCTTGGTTTAACATTCAAAGCTGATATGAAATGTAAAGATGGGCACCTCAAGGCAGTGTAATGTTTAGCAAGCTTGTCTTGCTAGAACCATTATGACTGAGTAGTGAGTTCGATCCTGATTGGGTGTCCCATACTTTTGGCTTTGTGCCACAACTAAGCTATGCTTGGAAAATCACTATGAAATGGAACGATTATACTGAATAAATTACTAGGTCTTCTGCTAAGAAAGTTGGTTCACTGTGTTACACTAGAAAATTTTTCTCCCTTGAATCTATCTTATATATTTATAAGTCTACCATTCATTGATTCTTTGAATATTGCTGACACATATGTTCCAGTGCTCCTGTTATATATTTAGAGATTTTTGATAAAATCCAAAGCTGGCATTTCAGCTTTGGTCACTTTCCCACTGACATAATGTAGCTTCCCTGTGCCTTTTTTATAATTATTTTTGTTGTAATTGTTCTGATGAACTCCTCTATGGTATCTAGACTTTATGAATTTAAGTGCGGTACTAGATTGGCAACTAGGTCTCATCCTTTTACAGTTGAATTGGGTAGATGTAACCATAAGTTCTAGGCTAACAGTTTTTTTTCTTGCACTTTTCAATTGTGGAACTCCCTTCTAGCTCCATGCTCTCAAGCCAAATTTGAACTTCAAAATTTCAAAGGCAATGCCAATGGTTATCTAATATCCTCTTAATTACTCTTCTTTCTTTTCCATTTACATAAGCTTGCTAGCTAGTTTATGCATTGTTTCCCTTGTCCCTCTTGGCATCAATCTGTCCTGTAAGTATCAAATTTTCCAAGCTCCCTTTCCTTATTATATGAATATACCTAGAAATTATGACTGTCTCTTTCTAATGTTAAGTAAGAGATTAAAAAAAATATTCTTTATAGCCTTTAATCAAGCATATATTAATGAAGTGATGCTGCCTAATTATGCATTATGCATCTTCCAGGAATTTTAATTTATTGTAATTTTTTGTAACTGATTTTTATTCATACTAATGACGATGGAAAGCACAACTCAAAGATCTCTCTGCCTATTGATTTTGTGATATTTTTTTTACATTTCTTTTGCTGGAAGTAATTGCTGCAGTTACCCCCACCCTTTACATTGATCAATTTTTGCCCTAATTAATTTTTTTTATATTCCATTTTGAAAAAATCTTTAATGTACTTATTTATTCTTTTGTATTTTCCACAGGAATACCCTCCATACAAGGATTATATCCGAGCCATTTCCTTCCTTACAGGATATCTGATTGTGCCAAAGGATACGTCATCATGTACCCTCACATACGTCTCACAGTCAGATCCAAAAGGTTGGCGATTTGATAAGTTTCATTTCTTTTGCTTTTCTTCTTTTTTTTTTTTTTAGCAAAAATAGCTTTCAAAATAATGAATAGAAAAATTATTTTAATGATATTCTAATTTTATTCATTTTTTTTGTTTCTTCTTCATATTTTATTTCTTTTATTCTACATTATTATTTTTGCACTTTTTTAATCTCAGTTTCATTCATTCAGAAAAAATACACAACTTTTCTTTCAGTTTTATTCTTATATTTTACTGTTGCTTTATTTTAATTGTTCTTTTTTCACTTGGTTGGTTACCTGAGTTCTTTCAAATCTCTCACCATAAAATACTTCTTATTCAGTCCTTTTGCTATTTCTTCTGTTCATCCTTTTTCTGTAACTACAGAAAAAAATATTAAATTATGACAAAATAATTATTATTTCAATAGAATTTCTCCTCATCTCTCTCATACATACATACATACATACATACATATATATATATATATATATATATATATATATATATATATATATAATATAAACGGAAGCAGTTATAGTAGTTCCAATGAGAGAAAAGTGTATATACTAAAAAGAAGAGAGATACCGCAAACGTTTTTGGTTGTAATGTGGATTTTTTAAAAAAGTATTATGCATTATTTTCCATAATTTTACTACACGAGTTTCTGGTCTCGCAACCATCATCAGGTAAAGGATGGAGATTTCCACATATTATTAAAAATAATTCATTTTTTTCTCCTTTATGTTCTTCGATGTTAAATGTTCTCGATATGAGACATTCTCTTTCTATGTGTTAGTAATCTGAATTTCTTTCTTGAACTGGCAGTGAAGAGTTCTGCACGAAGGGTCATAAAACAATTAAGATTGGTCTGAGAGAAACGATGAATTGGTTAACGGTATCTTATCTTTTAATGTTTTAATGACCCCTGTGTGTTCTTAGATCTATTTCCATTTTTGTGTGTTTCTGTGCTGCATCCTGTAGAGCCTTCCAAGATGATTCAATATCATTTGTAATGTTTACAGAATCAAGTGCAGCATCAAGTTTATCAGAAAGCACAATTTATGTTTCATTTGATTTAAGAGGCAGTACGTTAATGTGCTTGGGCACTGTAGATTTTATAATCTTTCACTTTTGCAGATGTAGTGTAGACTTACTTCGAAGTTCTGTATATATATATATATATATATATATATATATATATATGTAACTAATTTCACTATATGAATCATCCATAATTTACCTTGACTTCCAGTTAGCCTGATGTATATTTATGAGCATTCTTACATTGAAAAATTTTAAAAAACTAATGTCATCTTTACTTTTGTTTATAAATACTTGTAAAATAAAATCCTCACATTTGCCATCAGTGGATGAAATGTGTCGGCTAAGATAAGTTTTCTTTTTGTCTTTATTCATATAAATAAATAATCATCTATCAGTCTCAGGAGACTATGGAGTTGGGCTCTGGATATATTTTTCAGGCACAGTATCCATTGTGGTTTGACAGGCTCATTCCCAGAATGACGGTTTCACCCAAATTTTGCACAGATAAAGTCTGATACTGGTCTGTCTGTCAGATTTCAAGTCTTCTTTCTTTGCCATTTCACGACTGACTGTTGGGCAAATGTCACTTCAAAGTTGAAGAGGACATTCTGCATTGTCTGCCTTCAGGCTGATGATTAAGAGTTTACAGATCTCTCTCTCTCTCTCTCTCTCTCTTCCTCATATATATATTTTATACTATTGTATCAGAAGTAATTTAAATTCACAGTACTTTTCAGAGGTCAAGTTTTGTGATTCATCATTTATCAGGACCCAGACAAGAATAACTGCAATTATTACAGAATGTATAACATTTTATAAATACTTATTTATATACATAAACTAAATTGTCAATCTGTTTTATCTCACCCACATCCAGTGTTTAATTTTCATCACTTTAAGTTATGACTTTGGATACATTAAGATTTCACATCATTTTATTTTTGGCCCAATTTCCATTGTTTAATAAAAATCAGTCAATTTTTATCAGAAAATTCTATTGTACCTAAAATTTTAATTTTTGGAATGTTATTTGAGATACCAGCCAGATTTCTAATTCTCAACCATTTTTTGAAAATTTTTTTATATATCTCAATTTTACCTAGTTATAAATATCTCTCAAGGATAGGGAAGGGTGAGGAATATTTAATAATCCCTCTTTGTTGAGTTTAATTGAGTTTAACCTATGTAAAACATTTTTCTACTGCTAACTTTTGAAATTCTAGATACTCTAAGGAAAATGTTGCTTGGTTTTCAATGGCTTATCAAACCTTTGCAGGTTACTTAAAGCCAGAAAAGATTTCTTTTTAGATTGTGTGAATTTGTGAGCAGGGAGATAATAGTGATTTAGTGATACAAATCTTACTAATTAACCCATAGATGGGGGAAGAAGAGGTGGATTCATACCTTTCCTAAGGATATTTGCATGTAAGTGAATACACCAAACTCAACAGGAATTTGACCTCGGCTCCCCAGTTAACAATTCTGGGCCATTATCCATTACACCACCTGCACATCCATGCTTACAGTACCTGGCAGTTCCAAGTAGTCACCCATCTAGGTACTGACCAGGTTCAATGTTGTTTAACTTCATCGATTATACAGGAACCAATGTTTCAACATGATATGGCCATAAGCCTAAGGAGTTTTAATAAAAAGGGTTGTTGTAAAATCATTTAAAATGTCAAAAAGTGCAAAATGAATAAACTCCATGGTCTTAATAAGCCTAGTAATGTTGGGCAGAAAATTTCCGCCCCCTCAAAAATAAACATTTCCTCACCTTCTATTAGGTAGTTAAGGGTATATAGAGAATAAGAAGGCTGAATATTGGATGGGCTGAAATATTGTATATAGAGAATAAGAAGGCTGAATATTTGATGGGCTGAAATATTGTATATAGAGAATAAGAAGGCTGAATATTGGATGGGCTGAAATATTGTATATAGAGAATAAGAAGGCTGAATATTTGATGGGCTGAAATATTGTATATAGAGAATAAGAAGGCTGAATATTGAATGGGCTGAAATATTGTATATAGAGAATAAGAAGGCTGAATATTGGATAGGCTGAAATATTGTATATAGAAAATAAGAAGGCTGAAAATTAGATGGTCTGGAATATTGTAGTGATTAAAAACAGAAATGAATTAGTAAATAACAGGGCTGGTGTGTACTACCCTTGAACACCCTGACCAGGGCAGGAGAGCTCAAGCCTAATTGGGGACCCTGGCCAGTGCTTTGTGGCCCTTGTTATCTTATCAACATTTGCTTTTTTCCACTTACATTTATATACATTACAATTTAAACTAAGTACAACTGCCCATTAAAGGATGAAAATCATGTGGGAACTAGTGTTTTAATGAGATGTGGCTATAAATTTCTAATGAAAGGAGTTGAATGATGGCTTCCAATGCATAACTGCTGTAGAATACCTATGGATGATAATGGGTATGTCCCTGTTCACATAAATACAGTAGCAAATACTGTATGTGCTGGTCAAACTCTCTGCCTCTGGTCAGAGAGGATTCCCAGATGAGGCTATGTTGAAGAGCAGAGTCTCGTTTTGGAAAACAGCTACCCGACCTCATTTTATAAGGGGTCTATGGGGAATTTTTGGCCTAGCCTATGGGCTTGGATACTCTACATTAAATTCAGTCTTGTGTCACATCTGACCACGTTGGATGGCTGGTAGATATCCTGCAGTTGTAGATTCATTTCCAGCTGTGCTGGTCAAACTCTCTGTCTCTGGGCAGAGAGGATCCCTAGACAAGTCTATGTTGAAGGGCAGAGTTTCATCTTGGGAAACAGCTATCTGACCCTGTTTTATAAGGGTTCTACAGGGAATTTTGGCTGAGCCTATGGGCACGGATACTTCACATTAAATTCGGCCTTGTGCCACATCTGACGGTGTGGGGTGGTTGACAGATATTCTGCAGCTGAAGATTCATTGTGGAATTCACTAAACTCACTTCTAGCAGTTGACTACTTCTACATGCTGCTGGCAAATCATGTGTCGTTAATGTCCTAGGTATTATCGTTCTTACCAACCTTTGTTTGATTATTCTATTCAGTAACCTTTCCTAGGTTACAACCATAACATTTAGAACTCATGAGAAAACTAGCTACCATATTGTTTTAAATTTATTGAATATCAAAATAAATTGTGAATATGAAGAATTAAACATTGAAAATGCTAATTAAATACAAACATATCAACATAATAATTTATAAAACTAGGCTTAAATGTAAAAATCATTTAATTATATATTGCATAATGAATATCATTGTTTCAATCATGGCTACTGTGGTTAAGGACATTTCTCTTATTTCTATGCTCAAGTTTTAATGCATCTTTTTTTAATGAATTTAGGTATAAAATAATGCAATTGAGACATGTCTGATGTCACAATGTACACCATAACTTGATATAATAATTGGGAATTAAAGTAAAAGAATGTATTGAATTACTGATATTACAATGTTTCTAGATTCCTTTCAATGTAAATGGTCACTCTAGCATTACCCCCTCCCTTGGTCTTGTGATTAAAATTTGGGGAAGTAGTCCATGGCCAAGAAATGGAAGAGGAAAAAAAATCATTCCATTCCTCACTATTGTCTAAGAATCACATGCCTTTCAGTTCTTGTTGCTTTTCAAACTAGCATGTATGTATTTAAATTTCATTCTAATCATTCTTATTTAACTTTTTGATTTTTTTCCTTTTCAAAATTTTTATTTTTTTACTTAAATATTAATTTGTTTTGTTTGCTATTACTAGTTCTTTTAGTTTTCATAACTGTTCTTTCTTCCTAATGGTTGTGAATTTAATCTACCCACTCTTGTTATTTTATTTTATATTATGAACTTTGTTTGAATATGAGGTCATTTGAATGTTCATGCTAGCCATGGATACTAAGTGAATGCCTAGTCATAGTTGTGGAGTAACTCTTGACTTCTTTATAAGGTA